ATGAACAACATTTTAAAAGTCGATGCTTATGTTTAAATCAATAATTATGTGACAAAAATGTTTTCGCTCATGTTCAATTGGTCGAATGTACGCGAATGAACTTAATGACATGGACGTAAATGATACTCGCACAATGTGTGTAATTACCCTATGAATGCCTCTTAAAATGTCAAGTGTTTCAGATTAGGACTCGACTCTACTGGTGTAACATGAGAACGATGTGATACACAATTGGCACTCTGCTTGCGTAGAAAGTATCGTAAATATGTCATGCATAGTATATGAACGACAACTCACGTTATACCCCGGTGTTCTCTGTGAATATACTAGAGTATATATAAATATTAACGCGGGCCAAGGTCGATATACGAGGTCAACAATGCTTTCTGAGGGCCGACAAATCTGAATATCGACCTAGGCTGGGGTGAATATTCCTACTATTGTACAGAATAAAACAAACATGTTGTAAAAGGCTGCATTGTAAGATCTCTCTTGCCATCCATGTTTTTCATGACAACATTCACAATGTTCTCCATTCACAAACACACTTTCAATGACTATTTATATTTTTAAGATTTTTGTAAGTAACAACTAGCTATCGGCGACATTTCAGAAACCGGGATGTTTACACATGAACAATTTAATGATGTAGTCGAGTTTTCCCGGAAGTAAAAAACATATTAATTATATTCCTAGAAGTGTCGTTCTAAACTATATATTTTATGAAAGCCTAGACTTTACCCTACATAAAAATCAATATTATATCAGGCACAACCAACAGTTAGTCACGTGATCGATAAGTAAATAAATCTATTATTGAGACTTTGAATCAGTATTGTGATCACATTAAAAAAGCTATTAAAAATGTGTTCATCGAAAATTGCAAAATAAAACACCAGATACACAACAATACACAATACGTAATAACATTACCTCGATTAATGAAAAAAATGCACTAAACATCGGTATACGACGTGTACAAATGCTGAAATACCGTGCGAAATGCAAGTTATCAGCGCTAGCTACGTACACGGTGCGGCGACTATGGTAGCACCGACCGATATAGTCGAGTTGTTCGATGATTATGTCCCGGTTTAAAGTATTCGCCTAGAACATAACTATAATGCAAGATACCTTGTTGAGCAGATGATGACACAGTTGCTCAACCTACTCACAAATTACATTACGCCGACAAACCTCAACGGTGAATCAGCATTTTATAGATCAATCATTTTAAAATACTGCGCAAGCGCAGAAGCCTAATATTACGTCACTAACCGATGAGAAGTCAATATGCAAATATAACGACCGCCAAATGCGCGAAATCTGATTGGATGACAGGTCAACCAATTCAGACCCATAAATGTCCAGTACAGTACTAACTTTTAAACTTTTTTGTTGAATGGTGAGGCTCATTTTTCTTTCACCAAAAACTTTATTTTCAAGTTTGCTAGAATTACGCGATTTGAAAAACACATATGAAGGGACGAAATTCTACAGGTAACTGAAAATAACTTATAAACCAGCCTTATCTTAGCTAATTAAGCCAAAATGTCTATATTCAAAAGTGTTTGTTCTTGCATCCCTAGGCTACCTACTTTTGCGGTTACAGCATACCGTGAGTGTCCTTGTAGTTTGATGTTAATTTTAATCTCTTATGCTGTTTGCCAATATTAATGACGTTTTATTAAATCTGAATACAATTAATATATCGCAAGTACTAAGACTGTCGCGCTCATCGAGTTAAGCCTGGAAACAACTTCTCCGTTTCACCCATGCCTGAAACATGAGTTAATAATCGTTCTGTCAATACAATTTCTAATAGTACACCTCCTATGGGGGCAGGTTTTGACAGATCTACGTCAAAAATCACACACGAATACATCAAGACATATAAAGAAATTAAATTGTATTGAAAATAAAATAATCATTGCATTGTATTTTCATTTGATTTGACATCGTAACTATGGAGATAAAACAATGTATTAAAATGTAACATCACAAAAGTGTATATATACTTATGAAAAAAACTTATGTGTGAGATTGGTGATTCAAGCATGTCTTATAACCAAGATCATTTGGGTTATTATTACTTTTACTTCATTTTAGGTCAACTCAAAGGCTGTATGTATGTATATCGAGAATGGTGTATTAGTGCAATGACTACTGAGCGATGTGCAGTGAATGTAAGGATGTATGGGTTAACTATAGAGAGATATTAAGTTGAGTAAACCGAAGTTGAGTAAAGAGAGTATTGGGTTGAGTAAACCGAAGTTGAGTAAAGATAGTATTGGGATGCGTAAAGAGAGTATTGGGTTGAGTAAAGAGAGTATTGGGTTGGGTAAAGAGAGTATTGGGTTGAGTGAAGAGTAATGGGTTGAGTAAAGAGAGTATTGGGTTGAGTAAAGAGAGTATTGGGTTGAGTAAAAAAAGTATTGGGCTGAGTAACGAAAGTATTGGGCTGAGTAGAGAGAGTATTGAGTTGAGTCAAGAGAGTATTGGGTTGAGTAAAGAGAGTATTGGGTTGAGTAAAAAGAGTATTGGGTTGAGTAAAGAGAGGTATGATTGATACTAGGGAGGTATGCGTTTAGTATATAGATATTGGGTTGAATATAACGGCCCGGGGGTATAGGTTTAGTTAAAAGATGTATGGATCGAGTATAGTGAGGTATGGGCTCAGTATAGAGAGGAATAGGCTGAGAATTGAGAGGGGCGGATTGGGTATAGAGATGAATGAATTGGGAATAGAAAGGTATCGGGTTGGGCAAAGATAGGTAAGTATTGAGTATAAATAGACATGGATTAGACATTGATAGACATGGTGTGAGTATAAAAGACATGAAGTAAGCAGACGCGTATATTCATTGATAGAACGTACGCACTTTCAAAATGAAATACATAGTGGCCACGATGTAAGCGACATAATTATGTCTTGGTTGTTTACATATGCAATCAACATATCACCGTTCCCAAATAAACTATATTATTTGAAACCATAACCGAAAAAAAAAGAAAAAAAAACTAGAAACAAATTTAAAAATACACTTAATTGATATTTACATTTAGGTGGCATGATGTGAAACACACGTTGTTCAGATAGCAGGAAAACTAATATATAATATAGCACTACACTATTACTAGTTGAATAGTGGCATATGCAGTCCTGGTGCATTGTGTCATACGTTTTAAACATTAATATACGTGTATTTGTATTTCGCGTTATTTTAATGCCAGGAAAAAATTGTACAACGAATTTGTTCACGCATAAGACCAGGCTATAGATATCCGAACAGTTTTTACTGTATAAAATACACAACAAAGTTAAAAAGTTCAAAACTAAAATAAATTTAACTCAAAGAAAATATGTCTCAGTTAACGAGATAAATTATCCATCACCATGACAACGAATTTAAAAAGGGCAACAAAGATGAATTTCTTGAACAAAAAGGATGTATTTAATATATAAATTTAAGTGATAATGAATTCCCAAAACACTAACTAATGTAGGTAGATGGAGTAGAAGTATATATATGCATATATGCGTCAATTGGCAAAACTAATGACATGACTCTCGTATAGTATAGTTTGTGAGAGATGCAACACAAAATATACACCGCAATTTTGAATAAAATGAAAGTCATTTTCACTGGCTAGACTCAGAACCCAGAAAGTCACACTTGTATTTTTTATTTTTTTTATTTTAAAATGTCCCAGGCGCACGTGAATGGTCAGCCAACTCAAATTCACGAGGGTCGTGGTACATGTCATATAATGTAGTTTTAATGTTTACATAATAATATTATATTCAACGTAGAACAGATATTTGAATCATAATTGGTCAGTTTGACACACAAAAAGCATATACACGGTTCTTAATGAATTATGTAGAAATATTTCATTCTTATTAAACAGTTCATATACAAAATAGTGTTTGTTGCATTGGAACGTTTAAAGCCTCGAAACACCACATCACCGCATGTGCAAAGAGATGAAACGTAGTTATTATATTTCAGTTACGTCATTCAAGTAGATTGTGGTGTAATATTTCATATAATAAAACTTTGTTAATTATATGTTTATAATGAGTTGTGTCATACATGTATTCACATTCCTCATACTATTAATACGCATATATGAAAGCAAAATACTGTTATTTATCGTGTCATTCGATGGTATATCAAAATAGCGATGCATTCAAATAGATAAGTTGTGTCACGTATAAAGTTTAACAGGTTCAGCTCGATCGACGTTTTAGGACGAGTTGCCAAAGTTACCAATGCATTAACAAGTCAATCTTTATGTCTCGCACGTACTGAAACTAGTGACTCGGTCCCTATCACATCATTTTTTTTATAGAAATGTAAAGAATTACTAGAAAATACCATTATGGGACGGAAGGTCCACTAATGACACATTAAAAATATAGATACAATTTATGAATTTACAAAATTACGTACAATGATATGCCAGCTGTTCTACTTAGCACTTTTTAGAGTGGAGTCCCTCAAGTCAACACGGTAATAATTAATAGATGTATAATATAAGTTGCATTGATGAAAACTTTATGAAAACTCGTCCTACTCAGTAATTAACACAAACATACCTTTCCACTAAACAAAATGAATAGAATAGCTATATAAAGTGACGATTAATTTGTTAATAAAGATTATTATTATCTGTTTCTGTGAAAACCGTAATGTGTACCAGGCACAGCATTGTGCCTCGTGATTTACTGTAATAAATTATCAAAATTGACCTGATCTGTCAGCGTTTACGTGTTCGAAGTGTAATTATCAATAATCGAACAATATTTCATAATTTGAGATTTATTTATTCCAACCAGTGGTCACAATTATAGCGACTGACGTGAGTAAATGTACCCAATGTTCAGAAATATAATATTTTGAAATTATCACATCAGATTTCTCCACTACCAAAAGGGAGAATAACAGTAGTTTAATTGGTATGTTTTTGCTGCACAATTATATGTACGTTTTTGCCTTTGCCACAACACGTGAATGTGCACTTATGTTTCCTTAATTTCTATTGCGGTCATTTCATAGCTTGGGGGTGCGCTGTTATCACTGCCAGTTGGACTTTCTCCATCGAAGTCGTCGTCATCTGTCATCATCATGGCGTCCTTTGTTGGCTGGTAATCGTCTGGAATGTCGTCATCAAGACCACGCAGGTTTAACCACGGACGAGGATGGATCATTGTATGCCAGCGCTACTCAGGAAGAGAAATATTACGTTAGTTACATAGAAATAAGTGCTAATTTAATTGGACCATGTTTGGATGATTTCATACTATAGTAGCTGATTCGTTCAAGGTGGTCAACTTTATGCGTGTCGTCACCATCTCATCACGGTAAATAAGTCTTTTTAAATTTTATTTATTTGTGAGATTTATTCTTTGTACATTGAGTTTAAAAGTTTAAATAGTTTAAAAGAAAGGATATTTGCGGAAAATGAAGACAGTCTTACCTCCTTGTAATTACCAGGACTAACAATATAAGCATATATGAAATAGGTCAGAATCCAATGCATTGAGAAGGCAGCCATCAACCATCCCAATACTTCACCCCATACCGGGTAAGTGTAATCCTCGCCATACATAAAACCATCATAAGTCAAGAAACTAAAAAGTTGAATAAACTAGAAAGTAGAATAGAACCCGTTATAATAGGTAATTTGCATTATGGATAGAACAAAGCAAATATTATTTTCATAACAGTCAGTATCTGAATACTCATATCTAACAAGTATT